AGTATTCCCTTGTTCTGTTCAAACAACTGCCTCTTGATCTATGTACAGGTTCCTCATGAGCACAATTAAGTGTTCTGGAATTCCCATTCTTTGCAGTGTTACCATAATTTGTTATAATCTACACAGTTGAATGCCTTTGTGTAGTCTATAAAACACAGGAAAACATCTTTCTGGTATTCTCTGCTTTCAGCCAGGATCCATCTGACATCAGCAATGATTTCCCTGGTTCCACGTCGTCTTCTAAATCCAGCTTGAATTTCTGGTGGTCAATATACTGTTGCAGCTGCTTTTGAATGATCTTCAGCAAAATTTTACTTGTGTGTGTTATTAATGATATTGTTCAATAATTTCTGCATTTGGTTGGATCACCTTTCTTGGGAATAGGCATAAATATGGATCTCTTCCAGTCGGTTGGCCAGGTAGCTGTCCTCCAAATTTCTTAGCATAGACGAGTGAGCACCTCCAGCGTTGCATCCGTTTTCTGAAACATCTCAACTGGTATTCCATCAGTTCCTGGAGCCTTGTTTTTCACCAATGCCTTCAGTGTAGCTTGGAGTTCTTCCTTCAGTACCATTGGTTCCTGATCATATGCTACCTCCTGAAATGGCTGAACATCAACCAATTATTTTTGGTATAGTTACTCAGTGTATTCCTTCCATCTGCTTTTGATGCTTCCTGCATTGTTTAATATTTTCACCATAGAATCCTTCACTATGGTAACTTGAGGCTTGAATTTTTTTTCTTTTTAGATTCTTTAAAATTTTTTTTCTTTTGACATAATTTCAAACTTAAAGTTGCAAGAATAGCACAAAAAATTCCCAGATATCCTTCACCTAAATACTAACATTATACATTTGCTTTATCCTTTTCTCTGTACACACATACACGCATACATACACACACACACATACATACATATATATATATTTCTTGTTTAAGAGTCAGGTGCAAACATAATGTCCCTTTATCCCTAAAACCTTCATTGTGTATTTTCTGAAAACAAGGACATTCTCTTACATAACCACAGCACAATCATTAAAATCCAGAAATTAACATTTAAACAATACTGTTATGTAATCTACCAACTTTTTCTCAGATTTTACCAATTGTCCCGATAAAGTCCTTTATAGCAAAATAAAACCTGAGGTCAGACGTGGCTTTCAGTTGTCTCATCTCTTTAGTTTCCTTTGATCTAGAGCTCTGTCTGAATCTTTGTCTTCCATGACGTTGGTATTTTGAAGCAGACAGGCCAGCTCTTTTGCAGCCTGCCCTGTGCTTTGGGTTTGTGTGTTGGTTCCTTTGTTCAGATTCAAGGCTTGAATTTTTTCTTCACTTCTTTCAGCTTGAGAAATACTGAGCGTGTTCTTCCTTTTTGGTTTTCTATCCCCAGGTCTTTGCACATGTCATTAAAATACTTTACTTTGGCTTCTTGCCCTTTGAAATCTTCTGTTCAGCTCTTACTTCATCATTTCTTCCTCTTGATTTCGCTACTCAACGTTCAAGAGCAAGTTTCAGAGTCTCTTCTGACATCCATCTTGGTCTTTTATTTCCTTCCTGTCTTTTCAATGACCTCTTGCTTTCCTCATGTATGATGTCCTTGATGTCATTTCACAACTCATCTGGTCTTTGGTCATTAGTGTTCAATGCATCAAATCTATTCTTGAGATGGTCTCTAAATTCAGGTTGGATATACTCAAGGTCGTACTTTGGCTCTTACGCACCAACCACTAAGGTCAAAGATGAAGAAATTGAAGATTTTTACCAACTTCTGCGGTCTGAAATTGATCAAACATGCAATCAGGATGCATTGATAATTACTGGTGATTGGACCGTGAAAGTTGGAAACAAAGAAGAAGGATTGGTAGTTGGAAAATATGGCCTTGGTGATAGAAATGATGCTGGAGATCGCATGGCAGAATTTTGCAAGACCAATGACGTCTTCATTGCAAACACCTTTTATCACTTACATAAATGGCAACTATACACGTGGACCTCACCAGCTGGAATACACAGGAGTCAAATCAACTACATCTGTGGAAAGAGACAAAGGAAAGCTCAATATCATCAGTCAGAACAAGGCCAGGGGCTGACTGCGGAACAGATCATCAATTGCTCATACACAAGTTCAAGATGAAACTGAAGAAAATTAGAACAAGCACAACCTTAGCATAATACAAAATGGTGTGTCCATCAGGAAACCACTTACAATCTCTTTGTGACTGAGCTCCTGCTCTGATGGGCTCTTCTGGGACCTGATAGGGTATGTGACATGAGACATGGCCCTGGTCCTTAAGAAGCATGTGACCTTATGGGGAAAATGAAGAGAGAAGCTCCCTGATGACTTTCCCAGTCACAAGCTTTCTACAGGCAAAGGGGCACCTGTGGGAGTACTTAGGGAGGGACTGTCTGCAGAAAACACTTGAGGTTTTGCCTCTACCCTGTTGTTCAAAATCTGACTGTGATCTGTTAGCCTGTTTTCCTGTCATGGACTATAGTCTAGTTAAGCATCCCCCAAATGCAGATGGGTTGTGAATTCAATTTAATGGGTTATGACCAACATTAAAAAAAGAGAGCGAAATAGAATACTGTAGATTAGTACAGAACAGAATAGAAAATAACAGAGTTGATTGCAGTTAAGGGTAAGTGTTGTTTTGTGAAAATCTTATTTCAGTTGTGTGTGTGTATATACCCATATATGTATGTGGTGTGTACTAGATTGCAATGAAAATGTATTTATTTTTTACTTAAGATTGTGGTCAAAAAAGTTTGAAAAACATTATTAATGATTATAAATTAATCTTCCTCTATTTATATCTATCCCTTTCAATAAAAAGAGTTAGATCACTGAATATTTCTTTTAATAGGGAAATTAGCAATCACTGAGGCCCTACCCATGCCATGAATATTCCTTAATTCATTTGATACTCACAAAAACTTTATGAGGTAAGTGATTATGTCCCCAGTTACTGGAAGAGAGAAACTGAGGTTCAGAGAGGTGGTGATGGGGGTCACCAGTCAGTGGTCATTATGGTCAGTGTAGATGAGTAAGGGGAGCAGATGGACCTGCATCTGTGCTGGCCCCAAGGACACATCAGCTTGTTCTTTGTGAAATTCCTGAAGGACATTTAAAGCTTCCTTTTCTTGTTGTTAGACCCTTTCTCCTAAAGTGGAATGCAGGAAAGAAATACTTCTGGTTAATTAAGGCTCTGCTCTCTCCCTCTGTATGTAAGAACCAATTTACGGTATGCTAACTGAGGTCTCAAGGGGACAGTGGTGGCTCAGTGGTAGAATTCTCACCTTCCACGCAGGAGACCCAGGTAGATTCACGGCCAGTGCACTTCAAGTGCAGCCACCACCTGCCTGTCAGTGAGGGCTTGTGTGTTGCTAGGATGCTGAGCGGGTTTCAGTGCAGCTTCCAGACCAAGACGGACTAGGAAGAAAGGCTTGACAATCTACTTCCAAAATTCAGCCAATGAAAACCCTATAGATCACAATCCCATCAGCAGTGGATCATGGGGTTGGCACAGGACCAGGCAGTGTTTCCTTCCTTGTGCATGAGGTTGCCATGAGTTGGGACGACTTCATGGCCACTAACGACTGAGGTCTCAAGGAGTGAGATGCCAGGAGTAAAACACAGTCCCTCTGAGCTGAGTTAATCCTGAAAGGTGAGCTCTGAACAGGACTCTGAGGAGAAAAGGAACGAGGAATGGCCATGAGACCTGGGGTAAGCTTGGAGGTCTGATAATGACCCAAGGCAAGTGGCCAAGGCCAGACGGGACAGGCTCCTGGTCCTTGTCTGCTGAGGCAAGCGGAAAGAGGGAGCTGACCTGCTGGGGCCTCTGTGCTTTTCCCAGCCACAGGCCTGAGGAGGAGCCTCTGCTGTCCTCTCTGGGGCTTCCTCCCGCCATCCCCTGCCAGAGGCCAAAACCTGAGGCTTGCCTTCTCCTTTAGTGTGGCCACGCGGATTGAGCAGCGGAAGAAGATGAACTGCAAGTCCTTCCGCTGGTACCTGGAGAACGTCTACCCAGAGCTCACGTGAGTTCAGCCCTGCCTGCGCCCCGTGCTTCTGGCCTGGCGGGGTGGGGGCTGGGTTGCGGCG